GTGAGTAATTTTACTATTTAGTAACACCAATTTTATGGGCTGGGCTAAAATAACATGTTTGTGTGTGTGGCGTTCAGGAATGGCAAGTAAACAACCGATAATCGCAATTCTAAACCAATAATTTCCTAAAAGTATAAAATAACGCATGTGCCTCGTAGTCTACTCTTCCTTTTCAGATATTTCATTAGCGTTCTTGGAATTTGAGATGTTCATGGGATTTTGTAGTATGTATTGCAAAACTTTGCAGCTGCATTTTCCTGTTCCTGTTTCCTACTGTTTTATTGATCACTCCCTCATATTCCACATAAAATGAATGGGAAAGTCCTTTTAACAGAACAGGAAAATTAATTACCTTTTAAAGGGGTAGATGGAAAGGTTTCAAAATAGAGTTTATTATTCTTATGGAATAGCAGTGATTACTGAATTTTTGACTACAAATGCTTTTTAAGGGTTTCCTAATAGAATCTTCAGTACTCGAATGGGGTTCTTGGGTTCCTGTTTTGTTTTTATTAATGCTTTAATTAACAAAAACTGTAACCGCCGCTGTTTACAATTAATAGTACAGATCCAGTAAATTCACATTAAATTTTGTTTCTAATCAAAAGGAGCCAAAATTTAATGATTAAAATAGTTACTAAATTAACTACCTGTCTACTTGGACGTTCTTATCGTGTGGCGAATAAGGAAGTGTACTTGTCGTTGCCAAAGTATTGGAATGTGTTTTTGAACGATTTCCAAATCGTCGAAATGCCAAAGTGCAATTATTATATTAACAAAAATGCTACACTGCATATGTAGACAAATAATAAATTCTTTCGAAATAGTTAATTATACCTAATATCCATTGCTTTAAGTTAACGTAAAATTCAAACTGTGCATTCTAATAAGCTGTAAGTTTGATGCAATTATGTAAATAATATAAGTACCTGTTGCTAGTTGGATACCCTCGTTTACCTTTATTAATGTATTTGTCCTAAAAAGTCACATGATGGATCGTTTATCGATTTTACCATTCAGATTCTATCGGTCTATAATTTTCTTCTATTACATTGAAAGCACTACAAATGGCACTATTGATTTTATATATCATTTAAAAATATCTGGTTGTTATAATAGATAAACTGGCGAACTTCCCAACTCCTTTTGAAAATTGCCTATTATATAAATATCTTTTGTGATTATTTTGTCGTTGTTTGGCTTTCCAACTGTATAATATAATTTCTGAATGAATTAATGAATACGAAAAGGAATTTTGTACATTACAGATGTTATTTTTGGTTTTTCCATTTCTTTATTTAAACACAAAGACTTTAAAGTGCCAAGTTATTTTTAAGAAGACATTGCGCAGATTACTAAAATCTGTGATGTTGGTAAACAATTTGGAAAATTGTATGATAGGTTATATAATCTTTCATTGAACACCACAAATATTTAATTTTTTTTTAGTTTCTAGTTAATATTAATAGAAAACATTTCAATGTAGATGATAAACTTTACAAGAAGCATTTTGACTATTTTTTGGTAGTACGCTCGCCTCCTACAAGGGCGACCCTAATTCGATTTTTGGTCGATGCAGTACCTTTTTCACTTGTTAGATAAAATTAATTGGTCAAATATCGATCACACATAAAATATGTGTGGCATAAATACATGTCTCATACATCTATATTGTACCTTGCATTTTCATCCTAGCAGTTTTCACTGCTACAGTGTTCCGTGTATTCTAACCAAATCGCATGATTAAGTTTTACATCATTTTATTGTCTTGTTAAAGAGTGTTTACAAAGCTTTCCGAGCTTATTATAATACGTATAGGTGGTATATGTCCATAAATAAAATTCTGATAGAATAATCGATAATGTGATCTCATGCATAAAGTTGTAGTCATTTATGTATGTACGTGGTGAATGCTCAGTGCTCACGCTCATATCACATCAATATTTTCATTCCATTAGACAATTTTCACACAAGTTTGATGTTATTTTATTAATTGCGTATGTATCATAGTTAACAGTCGAAACGTAGGCTAGCCTCGGAACCTCCGGAAATACATTTTATTTTTTATTAAGAAATTCTTAAAGAAGAAATAGGAAGTTCTCTCCTGGGCGCTAAAACTAACAATTCATTTACTTGTGTTAATTCCTTGTTGTTGAATATAAATTTCATAGTACTGGTCGTTATCATTTTTAACGACAAGCAAGAAGAATTTGGTGGTTTTTATAGTTGTTGATGATTAACAAATTGGTGAATTGGTAAAGGCTTTCGCGACAAGTAGATCAACTGATGCTGGCCATGATTTGAGTCTAAAGGTCGTCGAGTTTATTCCTAACGTTTCGCTAGCATGAGTCAAGAGATCCTTCCATCTCCGATGTTGGATCTGGATTTCTCTCCACATTCACAATCCTCATCCAACCTCGGAAATGGAAAGACCTTTGAAGAAGCTCGAAGCTGTTGAGGATTAATTATACAGGTTTTTTTTCTAAGCCTGTAGCTGTCCCAACTCGTTTGTGCCCTCAGAGTTAGTCTAAAGATCATCAGTGTTGCCAGGTCAAAAGTAAAATTTTCCTTCTCTTGACGTACTTTTGCAGTTAAAAGGAGCTGTAATTAGATGAAAATATGTTTTGATCAGTTAATTAATTTAAGGGTGTTACAAAGTCGTGTTCAATTTCTGTAAAATTCGTTTGAATTATCTGTTATTTTCCTTGTATTATGTCTTCTCCGTACTTGGATCAAATTATTTTCCAATTCGTTAAGCGTCTCCGTGTTTACTGTCGCTCCTGTCTGATTTGATTTATTCCTTAAATTAACAATTCTCTCTGGTCTGTGTTAATCGGACCGAAAGTAATACAAAACATTTACTGGCTAAATTTAATATCGGTCGAATTCGCACACAACACACTTTCTTGAGGACCATTTATCATCCATGCCTGGCCCAGTTGAAATTAAATCCCTGCCATGACAACCGTGTTACTCGAAAGGGGAGATTTTATCATAAACGATTTAGGTGAAACCAAAAAATTTGTTTTTCCTTTTTCTGATTTAGCACCAAATGGTTTAGCTAATTCGCGGATAGTTAAAATTAGAAGAAAAATTATGTAATCAGTTTTGATTGATTGTGCGTTATTTTTAAGATATTTGTNTATTTTTCTAATAATACCAGTACCTGTCTACTTAAAAATAAGAATAACAGGGATGTAGTATCTAGGTTTGTTACTTTTGAATTGGATCATTTATTTTTAATTTATGTAGTTATGTAGGTATTTGTTTAATTGGTGAAATAACACTATCAGTTGTTTATCATTCTTTCCGTAATTTTACATTGTGGAATTGTAAGTAGGTTGACACCATATAAAAGTAACAGTGAGATTGTTTAAGCTTTAAGGGATGATAAATACACAAATTAATGTATATTTTTATGAGAACTTCACAGTTTTGGGTCATGACAGTACCTATCAAAATGATATGAAAATTTGAACATACTTACCGTTTACAAATTATCTATGTATAAATTTTGCAAATTATTAGAAACCGCAATTTTTAATTATTGCTATTCTGTTATAAGTTTCCCTGCGTAAAATTCTACCTTCCAGACTCACTTTGTCTATAGAAAACTATAAGTTAAAAACGGAAATCATTCCCTAATTTTCCACCCTTAGAGGTGGAATATTGTTCTCAAATTTAAGTGGTACCACCCTTGAGACATACCCTACTCAATAAAAACATTATTAAAATCGGTTGACAATCAGCGAAGAAATCGCGTAGCATCATAAATATTTGGACATTTGACTAGTAAAATAACTGAATAATTAAACTTCAAATCATATTTTTTTTAAGATATTTGTTAGTCATCAACGTTTTTGAATTGGGCATTTTTATTCGTATATTACATTTTATATTTTATCAGATAATGACAGTAGGTACGCAGTGTCCCAAGAAAAAATACTGTTTCATAAACAAGAAATGAGGGCCCAAATATTTTTGTAGTTGTTTAAAAGAAACTTAAAGTCCTTCAGTAGTAGCAAATGTCTACTAGATGGCGCCATACTGCCTGTTTTCATTTATTCTAATAATACTTAGTTTTCTATTTTTAATTTCAAATCACGTTGTACATTTGTATAAATATTTTTTGTAATATCGGTGCATTTAATGTTTACATCGTTAATCTAATTTATGTTAATACTGATGTAAATTTCAAATGTCATGTTCCTTAACAATATATCACTAAGGCTTTTAACTTGCTTGAATAAAACAAATATTTTTCGCTAATTTCCTTGTGACACTCACTCATAAAAAATACATTTATATAAAACATTCATATTAATCTCCTCTTGAGCTTTTTATAAACTTCATGACCTACTTACTACTATCCTTTTTTATATGAATCACTACTCAGTAGAAGTAAGTAGAAATAGTGCTGTCTCAAAATCAGTATCTACAAAATTGGCGTTAATAGTAGCTTCGCTATACGCCCTTGCGGACTTCATTAGCCGTTCAAAGTACTCTCATTAGTCATTTATTGTGTTAAACCTTAGTAATGAAAGTTCCCTGACGAATCTATTATTAGATATAAAAGTGACCTTTACTTGAGTAAAACTGTCTTTATTTTATTTTTTGTGTTTTTAAAGTGAAAACACCCAAGTAGATTGTATACTAGGTACTACCGTTTTGTTTTCTAATTATATTTTTGTTGTTACTCTCATGTCTTAATAGTCATTAAACCTACAATAAAGAAAAACAAAAAATATTGTGATTTATGAAAATAGTAGGTTCACAAAGATTTTGGTAATATTCTGCCATCTGAAAGAATGGGTTTTCTGATAATAATGGACCCGCTGAAAAACTATTAAATTTGCTACTTGAATTGTAGGTGTATTTGTGGTTCCACTATTTACTCTTCCTTGGTCTGTATCCAATGTTTACCTGAACCTGGTCACTACTAGTTGATTAAGTTCCATAGTTTACATTAAGTTCCTGTCTAATTTCCGTTTGTCTTGCTTCAGGGCGGTAGCAGCGTATTTGAGAGCGCTCAACTTGTCGCCCAACAATGCTGTGGTCCATGGAAACCTCGCGTGTGTTTACTACGAACAGGGGCTTATTGACTTGGCGATTGATACGTATAGGCGTGCGATCGAGTTGCAGCCTAACTTCCCGGACGCTTATTGCAACCTCGCGAACGCGCTCAAGGAGAAAGGACAGGTAGCAGATGCAGAAGAATGCTACAACACCGCACTTCGTTTGTGTCCTTCCCATGCGGATTCATTGAACAATTTGGCGAACATCAAGAGAGAGCAAGGTTTCATAGAAGAGGCGACTCGTCTTTATCTGAAGGCTCTAGAAGTATTTCCAGAATTTGCAGCTGCTCATAGCAATCTTGCATCCGTTCTTCAACAGCAAGGCAAACTGAACGAAGCACTGATGCACTACAAGGAAGCTATTCGTATTCAGCCAACATTCGCCGATGCCTACTCGAACATGGGAAATACTTTGAAAGAAATGCAAGACGTAACTGGCGCTCTTCAGTGTTATACCAGAGCAATTCAGATAAATCCAGCGTTTGCCGATGCTCACAGTAATCTTGCTAGTATTCACAAAGATTCTGGTAACATTCCTGAAGCGATTCAATCGTATAGAACGGCATTGAAACTTAAACCTGATTTTCCTGATGCATATTGTAACTTGGCTCATTGCCTTCAAATCGTTTGTGATTGGTCCGACTACGAAGCTAGAATGAAAAAGCTTGTTAACATTGTCGCCGATCAATTGGAGAAAAATCGTCTTCCATCAGTCCATCCTCACCACTCAATGTTATATCCGTTGTCTCACGAATATCGTAAAGCAATCGCCGCACGACACGCCAACTTGTGCATCGAAAAGATTCAAGTATTGCACAAGGCTCCTTACAAATTTTCCATTGAGTTAAAAGGACGCCTCAAAGTGGGTTACGTTAGCAGTGACTTCGGAAACCACCCCACGTCTCATTTAATGCAATCTGTGCCCGGTCTACATGACAAGAATCGCGTTGAAATCTTCTGTTATGCACTCAGCCCTGACGATGGCACAACATTCCGCAGCAAGATTGCTAGAGAATCCGAACACTTCATTGATTTGTCCCAAGTACCATGTAACGGTAAAGCTGCCGACAGAATCTTTCAAGATGGAATCCACATACTCGTCAACATGAATGGTTACACCAAAGGGGCAAGGAATGAAATATTTGCACTGAGACCTGCTCCAGTTCAGGTTATGTGGTTGGGATATCCCGGTACAAGTGGTGCCAGTTTCATGGACTATTTGATCACCGACGCTGTAACATCTCCAATTGAACTCGCTCAACAGTACAGTGAAAAGCTGGCTTACATGCCTTACACTTATTTCGTTGGTGACCATAGGCAGATGTTTCCTCACTTGAGGGAAAGAATCGTAGTAAGCGACCGCAGTGGAAACAGTGGCGTACCCGATAATGTGGCTGTTATAAACGCTACCGATCTATCGCCATTAGTCGAAAGTACAGACATTAAAGAAATAAAAGAAGTAGTACAGGCAGCTAAACCGGTTGAAATTAGTCTAAAAGTCGCTGAATTACCGACAACAATGCCAATTGAGACAATGATTGCATCAGGTCAAGTGCAGACCTCATTGAATGGAGTTGTAGTCCAAAATGGTCTTGCTACCACTCAGACAAATAACAAGGCAGCTACTGGTGAAGAAGTCCCACAGAATATTGTAATTACCACTCGTCAGCAATACGGTCTTCCAGAAGATGCAATTGTTTACTGCAATTTCAATCAGTTGTATAAAATCGATCCTATGACTTTGCATATGTGGGTGAATATTTTGAAAGCAGTTCCAAACTCTGTTATCTGGCTACTAAGGTTCCCAGCCGTAGGAGAACCAAACTTACAAGCTACCGCACAACAATTGGGCCTGACTCCTGGTAGGATTATATTTAGTAATGTTGCCGCCAAAGAAGAGCATGTAAGAAGAGGACAACTGGCTGATGTTTGTCTGGATACACCTTTGTGTAACGGACATACAACCAGTATGGATGTTTTATGGACTGGGACACCGGTGGTAACATTGCCCGGCGAACACTTGGCTTCCCGCGTTGCCGCTTCTCAGTTGACAGCACTGGGATGCCCCGAATTAATCGCTCGATCCCGGCAAGAATACCAGGAGATCGCAATTAAACTTGGTACCGATAGGGAATTGTAAGTGAACTTTTTTTTTCGTTTCTACTAATTAAATATGCCAAAATATTTCTCCTAAGAAATATTTAAAATCTTTAATCAAATTAGCTTTCTGTTTTTATAAAAGGTTAATATTAACACTTCCATGACTTCACTAAAAATAGTAATGCATGACAACAACAGCTTGATCTTCAAAAGAAAATTTATGATTCCCTGTATTGATTTAAGATGCAAGCCTACATCAAAGTCAAAACTTGTATCATAAAATGTATATTGATTGATGGTAGAAACTTGCTAAACTAAAGTACATATGAAGGATATGATTTATTATAGGTCGAAGTGGAACAAATCTCTTGTGACGTAAAATTATGTTCTTTTTTACTACAGCTTGTGACCTTATATAACTACTAATACTCATGTTAAGTGAATATTTCGGTTGATAACTATAGAAAATCATTCAACAGTATTTTAATTAAAACGGGTCTACGTCAAATCCCTAAACGCTTGTATTATTTAAAAAGGGAAGGAAAGTTAATTTTGTTATTTTTCTATTTACAGCTTAAAGGCGACTCGTCACAAGGTATGGAATGCTCGAACGACTTCTCCCCTTTTCGATTGCAAACAGTACGCCCAAGGTCTTGAAAATCTTTACTTAAAAATGTGGGAACGTTTTTCAATTAACCTGAAGCCGGATCATATTACATGTTTGACCGAAAGAAAATAAATTGATAGATGGAAGGAAAAAAAATTAAAAGCTAAAATTAACGTGTGAGTTCTGTTAAGTAATTTTTCGACAGTATTTACAGTCTGTACAATATATTTTTACGATACAGAGTAAGTCATTTAGTTCTAGAGGACTTTGAATTGTAACGATTTCTTTCATTTTTTTAGTTAAAGACCTCTTATTGTTGTATCGAACTTGTTCATGACTTGGTAATGTAAATATTGTAGCTATTACATATATAATTAGTTATTGTCAGCAGTGTGAAAGTGTGATTGTTGGTTATTTCATAGGTTACGAATAATTTATATATTAAACGCCAAAAACAAACAGTTTAGAAATTAAAGGAGTTTTTTTCCTCATATTTGTATTTCTTTTTTAGTCCAAAAGAAGGTAAGTAATATTACATTTTTACAGTATGTGTATGGTAAAAATTTCATCCAAAGGAGTTTTTTCTTCATATTTGTATTTCTTTTATAGTCCAGAAGAAGGTAGGTAAGGTTACATTTCTACAGTATGTGTTAGGTAAAAATTTCATCCCTTTTTGGTAGTATTTCTTCCTTTTTAACAATATTTGTAAGAAGTAAACACTGGAAGCTAAAAGCTACTTAATCCTACATAATTTGTTTTTATTTTTTTCTAACCTGACGTAATGGTTGCCTAGAAATTGTCAATGGGTGAGTTTCTGATTTTGTAATTGTTTTTTTTTTTAATTATATACTGAAAAACCAAGAGAAATATATCACAAATAAATAAAAGACTTGAAACAACAACAATAAAACGTCGATAAAAGAACTTTTTATATAATTATAAGCGTTAATGTTGTTAAAATAACTAACAGGAAGAATTAAAGAAATTACATATAGTATTTCGAATTAATAAAAAAATAAGAAAAGTGTTTTGTTCTTCAGTTGTATTTACAATATTGTCTAATTCAATAAAATAAAATATTCCCCACCTTAAAACATTGACAGAAGCTTTCTCTCATTGTTGAAAATTTCAGAAAATGCAAACTACAATAATTTTTCTATTTGAGGTGTGGTTCACTAAAGATAAGAAAACAATATTGTGAAGTTGAGTGTTTTATTTAATATTGCAATATTCGTAAGTAAGATATTTTTATATTTTGAATTATAATAAACCAATTTGGTAAAACAGTTTTTAGTGGTAGGTTTGTACTTTACTCAAATTTTCAACAATATAACTGATAATGCGGCAAATAATGTTGCCTTGTTGAATAGGACAGTGTTGCAAAGTTATGAATGTATGCTTAATGTTTAATTATTATTGGTATTACCAATATATTCAATTACTGTTAATTAATTAACACAGCAAAATAAAGGTAATGACTAGGCACACTGCATTACACAAGTGTAAATAGTTTTGCATAAGCATTAGTAGGTACCGTTAGCAGTAACCATGCAGTAACATCGGATGCTCATAGTAGTGCCACTACACCGGGCAAAACTTGAATACCCACCTTTTATTTTAAAGAATTTGTAGTGCCTGTCGTGAGGAACAAAAAGTGGTTGTTGTTTCCGTTGTTTATCGTTAGGTTTTATAATAAAAGTACGTGTTTTTGTTATCGCTCACTGGACAGAGGGTTAAAGTTTAGTAAACGTCAAGATCTGGTTGTCATTTCACCGGTAGCTCATTACTGGACAGGTAAGAACTATTTAATTAACCCCTCCACTCGAATTTAACTTTCAACAGGTGGCTACTGAGCACTTTAATCGTTATTTTTTTTCTTCATTTTATGGAGTTAAGTAGAGGTATGTTATTAAAGGAAGTTAAATGTCCTTATTGAATGAATGATTTATTGTAAAGCCTAAAGAAAACGGTAATTAAGTCTTCAATATTAATTAGTACGTATTTCTAAAATAGAAAATAAAAATTGTTAAACAAAAGAAAAGGTGTTCAGTAAATATGTATTATGCCAAGTATGGATTTCTTGAAAATAAATATAATGGGTACATTAAACTCATATAATGGCAGACGAGTTCAAAGAAATGTCACCATGGTACAAATACCTACTAACTCTGCAAGCAAATAGTAAGCTGATAGAGCCGGTACCTACAATAGTGCTTATGCAAATACCTGCTTGTTACAGATAAAGTTTGTATTTGACCCTGAATTCGAAACTAGGTACCTACTTCGTAGAATATAAATTAAGCTATCCTAAGAAATTCTTATCGGGAATGAATGAGTGACCGCAATCGTTTTATTTTCGTGTCTGTGTTTGGCAGTATCTAATCCAGAAACAACCTTGAAATTACTTTAGTTGGACAAGTCTTTGGCTTAATAGTAATTCACAATGTTTCACACATTCTTTGATAACTTGAGCAGTTTTCGCTTTTCTAATGGTAATGCCTAATAAATACCTACCCAAAATAGGTACCAATAGCCAGGTAAGAATATTTAGAGGAATTCTATTAATTGCAAGTTTCTCTATAAATGGGTACTTTAAAAATGATGATAAGTACTGAAGTACAAAAATTATTCCACACTATAAATAAGTATTAGGTACTAATTATTCTATACAATGAATAAGTATTAGATACTACCTAATCATTGTATCTAAATACAATATTAAAATTTAAAATATTATTACGAAGTACTGTAGTGCAACAATTAAAAATTTTGTTGTATTGCATAGGTACGAATTAAAAACATCGACTACATACATAAAAATACTGAATTAGTGCTAATTTGACTGGCGCACTGAAAATTCTGTTATACTGTATCAGTTGTCTTCTAAAATTTTTCATTGCATCAAAACATAGAACAAGTTGATTTTAGTCCTTAATTTTCGGAGATAAAATAAGACTAAAGTGAACAATTTTGTATTTTTCTAATAATACCAGTACCTGTCTACTTAAAAATAAGAATAACAGGGATGTAGTATCTAGGTTTGTTACTTTTGAATTGGATCATTTATTTTTAATTTATGTAGTTATGTAGGTATTTGTTTAATTGGTGAAATAACACTATCAGTTGTTTATCATTCTTTCCGTAATTTTACATTGTGGAATTGTAAGTAGGTTGACACCATATAAAAGTAACAGTGAGATTGTTTAAGCTTTAAGGTATGATAAATACACAAATTAATGTATATTTTTATGAGAACTTCACAGTTTTGGGTCATGACAGTACCTATCAAAATGATATGAAAATTTGAACATACTTACCGTTTACAAATTATCTATGTATAAATTTTGCAAATTATTAGAAACCGCAATTTTTAATTATTGCTATTCTGTTATAAGTTTCCCTGCGTAAAATTCTACCTTCCAGACTCACTTTGTCTATAGAAAACTATAAGTTAAAAACGGAAATCATTCCCTAATTTTCCACCCTTAGAGGTGGAATATTGTTCTCAAATTTAAGTGGTACCACCCTTGAGACATACCCTACTCAATAAAAACATTATTAAAATCGGTTGACAATCAGCGAAGAAATCGCGTAGCATCATAAATATTTGGACATTTGACTAGTAAAATAACTGAATAATTAAACTTCAAATCATATTTTTTTTAAGATATTTGATAAATTAAAATCAGAAAAGATGTTAAATATTTTGCAGTGTGGAAAAGTTACTTTCACATGCTAAATGGTAAGTAACTAAACACGCTTGCAATTAGTTAAAAATTAATTACAAATTAGCAGTGAAACAAAACAGACTTAAAGTATTAAAAATCCAAACAAAAACATCAAAGTTAAAACTAACTATTTCACACTGTAACTTCCGAAAATCCTTAAGGAAAACTAAGCTTGTGTTAGAAACCTTTATGGAATCTCACGATACACCGTTTGGATTTTCGACCAAACAGTCGTTATCAAAGAGTACAAAAAAAATGAGTTTGAAGATACTGAATAAAGAAGAATGACAATAAATGAAGTCGAATGTTTATAATTATTTTTATTAACTACTATTTTAATGACTGAAACTTCAAATAAGACATCTGTTTTTCATTACTATAATCCTACAAAATGAGACAATCTGTACTTGAATGGACTCGGATCGGTTACGCAAGAACGAAATAAATGCCGTAGTATTGGATGTCAAAGTAATAAAAAGAAAACTATGCGAAGTGAGACATACAGTAATAATATCATGGTTATACGTACTTACTTTTAAATCTGGAATCATTTTGTTTTACGTAAATTAACAGTAGTGGCAAACTGTCTTTTAGAACAAAAAATTAACTCCATAAAATAAAATCTGGAGGTACATAAGTATATTAAAAACTATTGAAGTTTATTTACTAATCTGTTCTGATAGGTAATATTATATTATTTAAATAACTTTTTGTGATAAATCGAGTAAGTACCTATAGTTTTACATTTTACGTATACAACAGAAAGTCAATAATTTTTCTTATATACATGTAGGTAGGTATTCATTTGCTAAATATAAAAAAAACAATAAAAGTTTCTCTTTCTATGTAGGCTAAAAAACAATTGTGTAGCACCATACGTATCCCATCATTTNTATAACAGTTGATTTTAGTCCTTAATTTTCGGAGATAAAATAAGACTAAAGTGAACAATTTTGTATTTTTCTAATAATACCAGTACCTGTCTACTTAAAAATAAGAATAACAGGGATGTAGTATCTAGGTTTGTTACTTTTGAATTGGATCATTTATTTTTAATTTATGTAGTTATGTAGGTATTTGTTTAATTGGTGAAATAACACTATCAGTTGTTTATCATTCTTTCCGTAATTTTACATTGTGGAATTGTAAGTAGGTTGACACCATATAAAAGTAACAGTGAGATTGTTTAAGCTTTAAGGTATGATAAATACACAAATTAATGTATATTTTTATGAGAACTTCACAGTTTTGGGTCATGACAGTACCTATCAAAATGATATGAAAATTTGAACATACTTACCGTTTACAAATTATCTATGTATAAATTTTGCAAATTATTAGAAACCGCAATTTTTAATTATTGCTATTCTGTTATAAGTTTCCCTGCGTAAAATTCTACCTTCCAGACTCACTTTGTCTATAGAAAACTATAAGTTAAAAACGGAAATCATTCCCTAATTTTCCACCCTTAGAGGTGGAATATTGTTCTCAAATTTAAGTGGTACCACCCTTGAGACATACCCTACTCAATAAAAACATTATTAAAATCGGTTGACAATCAGCGAAGAAATCGCGTAGCATCATAAATATTTGGACATTTGACTAGTAAAATAACTGAATAATTAAACTTCAAATCATATTTTTTTTAAGATATTTGATAAATTAAAATCAGAAAAGATGTTAAATATTTTGCAGTGTGGAAAAGTTACTTTCACATGCTAAATGGTAAGTAACTAAACACGCTTGCAATTAGTTAAAAATTAATTACAAATTAGCAGTGAAACAAAACAGACTTAAAGTATTAAAAATCCAAACAAAAACATCAAAGTTAAAACTAACTATTTCACACTGTAACTTCCGAAAATCCTTAAGGAAAACTAAGCTTGTGTTAGAAACCTTTATGGAATCTCACGATACACCGTTTGGATTTTCGACCAAACAGTCGTTATCAAAGAGTACAAAAAAAATGAGTTTGAAGATACTGAATAAAGAAGAATGACAATAAATGAAGTCGAATGTTTATAATTATTTTTATTAACTACTATTTTAATGACTGAAACTTCAAATAAGACATCTGTTTTTCATTACTATAATCCTACAAAATGAGACAATCTGTACTTGAATGGACTCGGATCGGTTACGCAAGAACGAAATAAATGCCGTAGTATTGGATGTCAAAGTAATAAAAAGAAAACTATGCGAAGTGAGACATACAGTAATAATATCATGGTTATACGTACTTACTTTTAAATCTGGAATCATTTTGTTTTACGTAAATTAACAGTAGTGGCAAACTGTCTTTTAGAACAAAAAATTAACTCCATAAAATAAAATCTGGAGGTACATAAGTATATTAAAAACTATTGAAGTTTATTTACTAATCTGTTCTGATAGGTAATATTATATTATTTAAATAACTTTTTGTGATAAATCGAGTAAGTACCTATAGTTTTACATTTTACGTATACAACAGAAAGTCAATAATTTTTCTTATATACATGTAGGTAGGTATTCATTTGCTAAATATAAAAAAAACAATAAAAGTTTCTCTTTCTATGTAGGCTAAAAAACAATTGTGTAGCACCATACGTATCCCATCATTTCTTCTGCAGTTTCTTTAAATTAGAAGATCAAAATTTACGCGAAGCCATTTAATAAAATAAAATACAAAAGTAAATTTCACCTGAAGGGCTTTTTTATTTTCCATTTAGATCGTTTTTATCCTACTTTACTTTTTGATGTATATATGTATTATTATTAAGGGCTTTATTTAATTATTTTTCCCTCACAGCATGCAGAACATGCAATAAATCTTTAATCTCATCTCGGTTAATTTTTTGCGATTATTGCTTTCGTTATATTTTATCAGTGTTTCGTCTTAAAATGGCACACAATAGAGCGCGATATACTTTGATAAGTGTGTTTATTTTTACAGCTCAAGAACACCAGAGTTCCATGCATACATCCAAACCTACCACGCGTACACATGTTTAAACCTACCTAGATACATCAACTACTGGAATAGTATACATATTTTGTCGGGTTCCCTATTGCAAACACTCGTGTTTCGGAAACGGAAGATCCTGGACAATATGCGGGTGTAGTTTAGTCGTTTAGTGCTTGTTTTCGGTAGTGCGATTTTCGTTTGTTTTCACCTTCGTCAACGAACATAATTAATTACTTTTCGGTTTGCGTTGTGGTTCGGTGAAATGTTATTCGCGTGTGCGAGGAAAACAGTGACGTACGGAAACAACTTATAACCGGGAAATTGCATTAGGTAAGACTGCACAACAGACCGTTAGAAATCGGACAAGGAATAATGAATAATGACAAATTCAAATGCATCAATGTACTGAGGTAGTTGCACAAAGAATTTACTTATAAAGTAGTACCCACTTTTAAATAATAGGTATAAAGCCAAAAGATACGTACTTACATACGTACTTAAAGCTAAATTTCAATATCCATCCGAAAACCTAAAAAGTAGTTTTCATTAGGATGCTTCAAATAACAACAATTATTTAATTTACACAGAAATAACACAAAGAGTTCAATTTTTCTATTTTTGTTTATCGATGAAGAAGTAGCATATTTTTAATTGGCCCTTTAAAAGCTGCTGTAAAATAAAAAACTTAATAATATTTATTATTTCTTATTAAAACACAAGCTGCAAGTATAAAAAAGCTAGAAGAAAGTATAATAATTTAATTGATAAACATTGCGCTTGCTATCACTTGCCGGCATCATAATACATAATTAATTTGGTGTCTTCGGAATGCAAATAATCTTTTACTGTATTTCAATAGTTTCAAGTTGAACGTTAATAATTTATTATATCATTAGTTTATCGGTCATTTAGATGCATCTATGTGTATATAAAATAAATAATCAATTTTGGTTTGGTTACGGAAATTTTTAAAGATTAGCTTCTTAAATAAAAAAGTGCATGATTTAACTGAAAAATGTAACAAATTGCTTAATACATATGTAATCTAAATTTAAGGCAATCTCCATCTTTTCTATGTTTGCATAGTTACAAAAATACCGCAATTGGGATCCGTCAAATGGGCATACACCATCTGGTGGCAAAATTTATAACTCGAATGAGGGAAAAATTTACATAGGAACTGTGCACGCAAATTGTTAAATTGTTTATTAAAATAATAAAACACGTTAAAAAAGTAAAAATATTTTTGATGATGGTGTCGACGAAGTTTTCTTTTAAGTTAAATCAAATAAAAAGTTAATATGTTCAGTGAAAAGCTGCAATAGCACTTCAGACATAGATCTTCACTCTTCACCTACATTAACTACTTCCCAATAAAAATTAACCGTTTTATATATGTAAAAAATATATTCGGAAAATTAGAGAAAAAAGTAAACTAATAGAAGCTTGGATGAAAGCAGTAGGTATCAAAGAAGTGAATTCCGGAATAAAAATTTGTTCACGTCATTTTAATGCACATGATTATATTTCAGCAAGTATTTACCATCAGCCATAACCTTAATATTTAAAACTAGAATCATACTAAAATTATAAAGTGAGAAATTATTTATTCCTGTGTAATTGATTTAACACAATTCTAATGATACGATATAAGTATTTTGAGGTTAAGAACCTACCTGCTGCAATACAACAAAGTTGCAATAATGTGTTTGCAACGTTCTCTTAAATCGGCTTTGCACGTGCAAGTCATTGATATGATATTGCTTAAATCACCCAGAATCACCTCACCAATTATATAACGTGAATCACTTTTTAAATCCGAAGTTTGTAAAAAGTAGGCAGTAAACTTGACGGAATTTGAAGGCTAGCTTCCGGATTTGTTATTTCCGAATTTTATAATGTGATTGGCATTAAAAACACGCTCACCTTCAACGAAATTTCCTTTCCGAGGCTTTGTGTCAGCCCAATCACATATTGTGTCAATACTTATCATTTTATCGTAATTTAAAAACTTGGAAATTGCACGGTACACTATAGGAACTACGATAAATTTTCCCTAATCGGCGCCATGTTTTTAGGCTCCTCCCATTTGACGGATCCCAATAAATAATAAACATTTGCTACCGTGTAATTCCAACCTTGCACTTATTGTTAATTTTATAAAGTTTGGATAACATTGACCTTAAATTAAATTAAAGTACCTATTGCTTAGACAGCATTTCCTTTCCAATTTCTGTTGGTAATTACCGAAAAAATCTTTGATCGTAGAACAACCGATTTTGCGATGGGTGAAAACGAGAACAAAGTGTCGCCAGAGAAAAAGAACGGTACGGAAAACAACGTAATACGGTTTCCGGAATCGGACGAAAACGATCCGTGTATCGATTGTAAAAAACAACCGTCGTCCGCTCACAGAAAGGGCTTCTGGTTTGAAAAGGAACATCAGCTAATAGAAAAGACCAGCCTGACAAGACGAGGTCTTCGACTCGCTTTAGTATTGCTTCTGGTCTCGCTGCTTTTTTTCGTCATCATTGTCATTCTGGCCGCGCTTTGGCCTAGGAAACCCCACCATCTGCAATTTCCGGTCTGCACGGAACCGCAATGCCTCAAAGCTGCAGTACAGGTAAGTCTTCCTCATATTTGAATGATGAAATCATAAAAAAAAAACTGAAATTCAAAATATTAGATATGTGCTTTATTATATCTGGGAAGAATTATCGCGTAATTAAAGATATAAGATATAGAATAATTACCCGACATCGTCGAGTACCCAGCGTCATTATCCGGTACCCTACAGCATCTTAAAAAAGTGCCATCCAAATCGGGAACCTAGCACATCCCTAGTTTATGCCATACTGTCGTAACGTCATCAGAAAATAAAGAAATCCTAAAACTTTTTTTTCACTTTAATTTCTATGGTCAAATCCTCAAAGTGTTTCTGGTCTTGTAATATTTACGTAAACTTTTCGTAATTTTATTTTCAGTAATTCGCAAAATGAAAGTGAACTTGTTTTTGCTGTATATTTCTCTAGAGAAAAGTTAACATAAAACTGAAAAATATATTTCCCAACAATATGCCTATTACACAGAGTAGCAGAAAAACTGAAAAGCCTTTGGGTCAATTTTCTTATTACTTTTCTACTTCAAAAGCTTTCCGTTTGAAACGTGGAATCATAAAATAACTAGGTTAATTGTGAAAGAAGGTGGAAATACTACAATAAACAGCAAGGAGAAATCACCCCCAGGTTGGCAAATACGAAAGGTCAAAATGGTATTCAAAAAATAAAAAGAAACGAATTGCATAAAAACCACTTTCATTTATAAAGAAATTCATAACTTATGCTGTTGCTTATTTATAGACAATAATTTTTAAAGTGATCACTAATAACGGACACAATTTTCGTGAGTGACTTCGTCTTGGCGAAGTGATCTTTCCGCTAAATATCTTAAGGTGACAATTTAACTAAAATACTTCAGTAGCAGTAAATACCCATCAGATGGCGATATATCTATCGCCTTTATTTGGATATAACATAAAGGATGTAAGATATAAGAGTAATTTGCAGTAGATATTATTCAAAGTAGCAGTAGAGAGACAAGAAATTTGTAGGGAAAAGAGTAATTGCAATATTATCTTCATTTTCCTATAAATTGTTTGTTTTTATATGTATCTACAATGCTACTGTTAACGAAAATTATTGCAATTGTAGAACTTTGTTTGACAGCTTTTTCTGAGTGTATGGAAATTTGAATTATTTTAATTAAAAAGCTCATTGATTAGAGAACGTATCTTCGATTTTCTTCTCTTTTATTTTCTATTAAGAACGCTTTCATTTATTAATCCATACGTTTTATTAACCAACATCTTTTGCTTCTGTATCAAAATAGAAGATTTATTTATATACTGTATTTATCAGCATAAGCCTTGATTAATCAATAAATAATTAATATACGCAGATATATTCACTGACCCAAGGCGTAGTTGCATTATCAGCATTACCTGCATACATAATAGAGGGCATGTGTATTTGTGTGTGTATATCTACACGTTCATTATCGTTATATACCACTACATATACCCGTTGTTATAAAAAGAGCTACAGAATGGATGATGGCATTACCGTTATAATTAAGCTATCTACCTACTGCTTTTGCCATGCATTTATGGTTACCAATTTGTTACAATCCGTACATTCTGCTTTATACATTCTACAAGCGTACAGAATGAGTTATCTGGTACCTACTACTGCAAGTTATTACGTCTTTGTTATGCACAGAATATTTATTTGTAAATGGTTTTGGTTGTGACTTCATTTTTGCCCGCATTCTTCACCTGCACGAAAAGAAAATTTTTTAAAAACATGAATAATGCAGTAGATAGCCATAATGTGTAGGTACAGCATATTAATTTTGCTAAGCCACCGTACACCGTGAATAAACTAAACCTTCGCTTATAGAAACGAATGTCCTTTGGCCTAAAAAATCGATTTTTCGCCACAATTTCAGGGGTTTGGGCTAAGAATTGATATATCAATGAAGCAGTTTATCCTTTTTTTTCCATATATCAATGTCATGGCTTCACTTATTAAGTTGGTCCTTAAATGTCTACTCCCAATCTAGTTTCAAAATAAAGACGTGTGATCCACATGGTCAAAGTAATAAAGAAAACATTGTCAAAAATGAACTGAATCTATGAGATAATCTTCGCATTTCTCTAAAACTAAAGCATCCACATTCCCAACTATTTGTGAACAGTAATCTAAACCAATCCTACGTCTGTTCCTGCTTCTAGTATGTTTCTTACTACCCCTTAACTTTTTCTGAGAAGGTATGATCTTGTCTCTTATTTTCATTATTGAATCCCACAGCATCGTTTGCATTGTTCTACTCCTACTCTTTCTAATGATTTTGAACCTTTTCAGTCTGCCTATAACTCCACATTTTTTTTATGCCACACTTAACATCCTCGTTTCTCACCCTTACAAAGTCATTCTTCAAATACACCTACAACGTTAAAGAAATTATCCAAATCATCCGTTCACGAGCATAGATAACAAAGCAGCTTCGCCAAGAGCTTATTACTTAGCGGTCCTGACTCAAGTTTTTTTGTTGTTTCCTTGAATCACGTAGGCAAATGCTGGGGCAGTAGATAATATTGAACTCTTTTCTGTCTTCATTTCGTTCATCTTATTGTATTTCATCCCAACCACCCTCCAACCATCCTCACGATTCCTAAAGGGAGATTGAAGAGAGTCTTCTTAATTTTGAACATAGAAGGGATTTATTTTTGTCAAAGACGTTAAATTAATAAATTGTCTGTGATTTTGCATTGCATATAATCTTAGGATAAATAAATTCTATTAGATAAGGTAGCAATGGGCCTTCGCTTCTGATATCGTGGACCTCCTAGAGGATCCACAAACCCTACGTTAATAAACCCTGATATACATATATATAATTTACTACGGCTCCTAGACTAGCTAGGAACGCCTGTAGATTTTTTTAAAAATCATACTTATGGGCATCAAAAATTTTTTCTAAGAAAGCTGCTAATATGAAAGGAATATCAGTGATTCTTATCACACAACTTTTAATTATTTTCTTATCTCTTTTGCTAATGCATTGATTAGAGCGTGTGAATGCGTTTTGTTGAACAACTCATCGACAGTTTCATTCGCAAAGTTGTTTAGCATTTTTGCTGTCTTTTGATATTGTGTTTCTTCATGTTTATAGTAGATAAATTTGTCAATACAATTATTGTATACTTACTAGCGATTATTAATATGTGCAGATACGGTACTGTCGTTATTATTAACATTTTTACTGTTTATATAAATCCATAATTGACCTTAGATAGACAGGGGTCCTGCCGAATAAAAACAACTTTCTAATTACTGCGTAATCTATTATCTCATTTAAGCAAGACGTCTCATATTTGCGATTCATTTACAAATTAGTGTTGTTACCAGTTTATTAAAGTGAAGTCGTTTAGTGATCATAAGTTTTTCTTTTTATGGCTTTAATTTATTCGGTCGGGTCGTATTCGATTATTTGTTGAAAAAAAAAATGCGGAAATTGCTTTCGAGGAAGTTAATAGAGTAGCTCTCGCTGCGCGTCTGAACAATTAGCAGGTTGTTTATGAGGCTTTCCGCTAAATCCCCTAAAATGCAGAAAAAATCTGATCAAGATAATTTCGAAGCAAATCGCTAGATGTCGTACGCCAGTGCATCAAACGGCCTTTAATATTTTACGCGGCGGGTTTTTCCGAAATGGCGTACATATTTTAGGTTTATATGGATCTGCGTTATATACAGTCGGTTTTATCGTGTAAAAATAGGGAAATTCCAGTTAATTAAGTACAGAAGGCTGGGATTTTCCTACGGATAATAAATTTTCAGGCGCTAGATCAATAAAAAATGACCACACGGGTGCGCAGCCATGCTACGAACAGAGCCACTGAGAATATGCGGCACTTTCACCTAGATTTAGTAATCGACGTTCGGTGTGTGCATTTCGCGTGCCGTAGTTAACACAAAAAAGACAACAAAACTACGTGAAAACAAAATTATATAATACAATCGAAAAGTGACCGAGTGAAACTCGAACTTCACAGTCGGTTAATGCTGCATGTTCAACTGCTGCGCGAATATTAAAACAAATGTGCATTGTTCAGTTGTATCGTGAGGTTAGTTAAACGGAGGAATTTGTCTTGATTTAACACAAGATGCAGAGTGCTGTTGACGATATTCTTAACTACAAAGCGGACGATGATTATTATACAATCCTTGGCTGCGATGAGAATTCCACGGTGGAACAAATAAATGTCGAGTACAAGGTACGCGCGCTTCAACTCCATCCAGACAAGAATAAGGGGGACAAAGAAGCGGAAATTAAATTCCAAAAGCTGCAGGAAGCGAAAGATGTTTTGTGCGATCCCGAAAAGCGCGCTAATTACGACAAATGGAAGAACAGCGGCATCGCCATCAGCTACAGGCAGTGGCTGGGAATGAAGGAGCACGTGCACCAGTCGATGCATTGGACCACACCGAAAACTAAGGACCGTATGCTAACGGGGTCCGGAGGATCGTCTGGCCCGTCGAGCTTGGGAGCGACGTCGAGTCCAGTCCACCGCCGGGCCTCAGAAGGAGGCGCCAACTTGCATTTTGGAGGGAAGAGCAACTCTCCGTGGTCAAGCGAAGCTCCGAACGAGATCGTCAGCAAGTTTAGAAATTACGAGATTTAAACTAAATATTTTTGATGTCGTTTACTCTTTGCCGTGACTGCAAATAACTTCACATGACCTTGGAAAAACCTGTTTGATGTAAGACTTCCACGTAGAGTTTGTAACCGTTGGTTTCTCAAAAGTCTTCGTAATTTTGGGATTATCCCCCTGGCTCCTTTATTAAAAACCTTTTCGTCAGCATCTGTCTACTACCACTTGTTCCAAAATTAAGTTTCGTCCGACAACTTAATGAGATTACACGGGAAACGCTTCTATATGCTTCTCTAAATCAAAATTTTAACCAAAATTGTACATTATAAATTTCAACGGACAATCACCAAAATAATGAAATAGTAAATTATTGAAGAATGCACATTTTTACCTCTATTTTTATAATGTGCTTTCAATTTTGACACACAGACCATAACGACATATAAGTCGAAATATGTTTTATAAGATTTAAACAAAATTTAAACAATAATTTGTTATTATATTAAGTAATTGTTATTATTTTGTTTAGGACATTTAAGTTAAACCTTCAACAACTTCTTGTCGTGTTTCGTAGACCACAAAAGTCACATACACAGTAATTATTGGAAAGCACATACTTCTAAAGTATCTAGGTATATACGTGTATATATATGTCAATAAACACATACGTGTGTGTGTTTCTTTTATATTGGCGTATAGAATCAATTTTTTGTTGTGATCGAATTTTTGCGACTAATTCGGTTTCCATGAAATGGTTACATAAAATCAATTCACTTTTCGCGTACTGTGAATAAAGGAAAAGAATTAATTAACAAGGCCAATCTATCGAGCTTACGATTCATATTGTAATTAATTTATTATGAAATCATTGCCTGGCTAGATATAACATATCTGTATATCCTTATGACTACCATAGGTACAATTTTAGTTCGTGAAAAAAATCAGAAACGATCAGTAAGTGCAAAATTATAATAGTGTGTGCAAAAAATATTTCAGATGATTACTTTTTATATTTATTTTGGTATTACTAAAGGATTATGAAAAAGAACAGATTTAAATAAAGTATTATAAACTTCAGTTTCATGTGAATTATGAATAATGGGCTTTATTTAGAATTATGAAAAGGAACAAAGATTACATCCGGAACCAATATAAAACATTGCACAATAATATATTATTTTTCTTGCGTTTATGGGTTTTGATGGTTTTTCACTTATTGATCGGAAAATTTAAGACAGGGACGTATGTATGCAACTACACGCAAATCTGTGTTATTTTATATTTTTACACAATTTTTTACAAACCGTATTCTTATATATGTCTATATACACACAACTTTTACAAGTTTGCTAATTTTTATATGAAATAATATGTATTTTGGATTGTCATGGATGACAATGGTAACGTCATAAACAATACCTAAATAAGGTAATGCATTACATTGGTATTTTCATTACAGGAAGATAATTGATAAGTGGTAGTTCAATTATGTCAAAATATTACGATAATCATGCCATTGTAATATCGTTTTCTTTAACGGTTTTCAAATGGGTTTGCCGAATTGTATAAAAATATTTTTTGGTATTTGTTGTTAATTAGTTTATATACGGTACATTCTTGTATAATTTATTAAATATTTATTGTATAAAAATTGTAACTTTATGGCTGTGTGATAATAGAGAAGGGTGAGAAA